CTGTTGGACTCTTGTACTAAAGTTGCAAAGAATCAGAAACAGCTTGGAGAGTATTAAAGTGCTACAAGCTCTCCTTTGCAATATTCCTCTGCTTTCACAGCAAGCAGTCTCACAACTAGAAAGACAGCTCTGAGAAATGAGAGTGATTTTTTTCTGATGTCACGAATTCCCACTGGCAAGAAAATGGGGATTAAAAAAAGAGGGCAGGAAAAAAGACAGTACAAGTCTCCTGTAGAGGTTACTGGTTATTTTATAGCACTGAGTTGTAAGACAGCAGCTCCACAGTTCCTTATGAGATAAAGATTAGACAGATATGATGAGCTGAAGAGCTGAGGAGTAAGACAGAAACAAGTGTGGAAGGCAACCTTAAATCACCAATTCCACCAAGGAACACAACCTGAGAGAAATAAGCAGCAGCAAAAAACCCAAACAAATCACTGTTCAAACCCATCTCAGGTGTTTTGTTCCTGCAAATTGGAAGGGAGGAGAGTAAGTGTGATTCTAGAGTAATTTCAATAGTTACGAATAAGAAACAAATTCTCCTATAGCACTGTAATTTAATGGTGGACTTCTCATAGAGAAAATGAAGTACAGGGAGGATAGAAGATGTGAAGGGGGAAAAGGGCAAATGGTGGAGAAGCAAGAATTATAGCATTTGTAAATGTTGTTCTTTTAAAAACCTCCTGACATGGACACCAGAGAGTTGGGAATAATTCAGGATTTTTTAAATGTGGTATTTTTAACCATAATGTATAAGCAGATAAATGGATAAGTAGATAGCTATTTAATCTAGCATTATAAGGTTCTCTGGCTATAGTTAGATAGAGTCAAATTAGATAAAGAAAACTGTTTGTCTGCTTTTTTCCAAGTGTAAGTGTAATTAATAACCAGAACAGTTTATTTAAGAGAGTGGTGAATTTTCTATAATTTAAAGATTAAATCTTAATTGGTTATCCTTCTAAAATAATGTGCTTTGTGACACCTATTTAAAGGGCTTTTTGTGACTATGGTAAATCTCAATAGGTTAAAGAAAAGTTTGCAAAGTATTCTGAAGACAAATTGCTTGAATTCAACTACTGATAATGATGTATGCCCTTTTGCTTTGTTCAATGCCTTCCATCTTAAGAGTGCTATTCATAGTATAACTTTTAAGAATAATTTGAAGAGCATGCAATAATGATAGTGTGTCTTGGAGCCATGTACTCTAGTGGTCCTTTATTTCTTTTTTTTCTTTTTCCTTCCAAGATCACCAGAAGTATTACAGATTTTAAAAAATAATCCAGAACTGTTAAATTGAAGAAAGAAATTTTGTTTATTTCATAGTAAAAGTTTTCAGGATCTACACTGAGAAAAGGCACAATGCTTACAAAACACTAGTTTCATGTGTTCCCACAAATGAAAGATCCTAAACTGTCTGACTGTATAGCTCTTAATAATACCTCTGGTAAAATAATGATTTTATAGTTGCTGCATAACTTGTCAAATGTGCAGTATTTAATTTAAGCAGAACAGTAATTTCATTTATACTTCTTCTGGGTGCTTAAGATGCCTGTTTAGGATTGTAGTAATTTTTCAGATCCCAAGCATTAGTAAAATATGAAGCATGTGCAATGAAAAAGAGTCAGCTAAAACACAGACTTATTGTAAAATCTTTCTCTGACAAGCCATGCTGTAATTTGCATAATGCTTGAAGTACCTGAACTTGCAAGTACAGAGGCTGTCTTTTGGAATGCCCTGTCAAGATTTCAGCTGTGCTTTTGATATCATTTTTTCCTTTATTTGAAGATCAGATTTTTATCAAGTAAAAACTCATTGGAATTCATGGTTTTTATTTCATATCCATACAAAACTAAACCATAACTAAAAATATGCTCTATATGTATCTAGTAGGTAAGTAAGTGTCTCCTTCTCCTCTATATAATCCATACACGGGAAAGGCATATCAGAGCCATTAACTAAAAATAAAATGAGACTTGACATTAATATGGAGCTAGTGGCATTTGTTCCTAACTACCTCCTGTGGCATGTTCCACAAGTGTTCTCTATAGCTTTGTAGATTTTGGATATTTGTTACCAAGAGAAAAGATGTCTCTTACCTTCCACCTCTCCGTAGTCAACTTGTCTAAATGTCCTGCTGGCAACTAATATATTTGAATTTTAACTTTAGAGAATGCAGTATTCTAGATAAGTGTATATATTATTTTTTTTCTGTATAAGAAAAGGGAAGGGGAAAAAAGAGGAGGAAAAATCAAAAGAAGTTATTCAAGTTACACCTACAGTCCAGGAGGAAATAAGTTCCCATTGGCTACCACCACCTGACTTCATTTTAATGGATTACATTAATGATGCTTCTAAAACAATTCTACCACTAACAACTACCCGGGAACAGGTTGTGGCTCTTGCACAGTGAGTACCAAATTGTATTTCCATAAGCTGAATTGGTAAAATAACTGTTTTCTTATCCAAAGTCAACTTTTTCAAAATAGTTATTTTCCCATGCTTAAGTGGAATCCAAATCAGCTTTGGCCCAGAATGCTGACATATTTATATTTTAATCTTATTGTTTCTAAATTTCTTGCAATTAATTTAATATATTTTAAAATAAAGTATCACTTGCAACAAAAGAGTATCAATTTATCATTTAAAAAATATTCTCATAGACAATTTCAAGTTATTTTTCACATTTATACATCTGTACTGATTCTTTCCAGTGAACACATCAGCTGTATATAGCATCTAAATAATCAAAGAGCCCCAGAGTCCCAGGTTTTGCAAAGCTTAAAAACATGGTTAGAAGCCAAACCTACTAGTCAAGATGGTTTCAAGTTACACATATCATGTCTGTTCTTTCTCCTACCATCTTTCCTGCCTGCTTGGTTTTGGACCCCCTTGGGAAAGCAACTCTGTTGTATTTTGTTTTCTATAGAGCTAAAAGCGTAGGACAAGTTTTCTAACATAGCTTTTAAGTGCTGTTGTAATTAATATTCTGATAATTAATAGTGTCAGAATATCACAATAGTCCTTGCACAGACTGTTGATATCAATGTGTGATTAATTGGTTACACTGACTGCTGGGCACCAGTCACTGTCACCTCCAAGCAGTGTGTCTGTTTCCATCTTCTCCATAGTTTAACCTTTATATCTTAGCAGTTTCCAGGCTGCCTCCTGAATCTGGAGAGTTTGGAATCAGATCCCACTTACTTTCACAAAATTTGTTACTTTTACTATCTCTCATTTTTAATGAAGTCGTCTAATGTGATATGAGGAATGAATTTTCCATTGATTGCAGAATTTGACAGGACGGATACTCATCCTTAACTATCCAGCTGTATATAAATCATGCTGCCTTCCTCAAGGTGGAATGCATAAAACTCTCTTACAAATCCACTCTTCTAACACACCAGTGAAATACTTGCAGACACACAACCCAGTGAAACAACCATGGGAAATTTAAGTAGGATGTTTTAAAATGTGGGCGTTTTTCTGTCTGTGTTCCATTTCAGGTGCCTGCCTGCATAGCATGTGTTAAATAGGGAGCTGGGGAGAAGGCAGCGGCAGCATCCCTCAGCAGCCTGGCAGCCTGGCTGGAGTTCCTCCTGTGGAACTGGGGAGGAGGTCAGGCTAGCTGAGGGGCCATCAGTAATGCTGGATGTCTCCTTTGGAACAAACACAGCCCACCTTTGTGCAGTGGTGATCACGCTGGCTGGGGCAGCATTGCTGTCCTTAATGAGGGCTGGCCACAGGCACACTCAGCACAAGGGACCGCCTCGAGCCCCACACTTTCTCAGCTTCACCCAGTAATTCCCAGCTTTGAGATACCCTGACTGACACCCTTGGTGATAGCTCCCTGTGCCCATGCTATTGAAACCAATGCTTCCTCAACTCTAAATTTTAACAAGTGAGGCCTTGGAGGTTGCCATGCTTGTGCTGGGCAGAGGAACATGTTCACTGCTTCTACAGAGGAGGGGATGCAGGTTTTAGCTCCCTGTCTGAAGCAATGGCTTGTGATTTTCATGTCAGCTCTGCAACATCTTGTCCATAGTGAGAGACCTCAATAACCCTTGTGCCTATGGCTGAGACACTGAGGTGGAATAAAGGTCTTTACATACAGTGATGTGCACAGGGGAGATGAAGGTGTGTGTGTGTGTATTACAAACCAGAGCTTGGTCCTGTGTGTGCACAGTCCTCCAAAAGACATGTTTTTGGCAGAGCTTGCACTAACAGGAGTTTTGATCTGTTTCTGAGCCATTTGTTTAAATGGATAAATACCCCTCACCCCCAAAATACTGGCTTCAATATAAGAAAGCACATGTAGAAGATAAGTACTTTCAATTAATACGGCTGCTTTTCTATGTTGGGATCATTACCTATGGCTTTATTTTTGTCATACTTATTCTCATGCATTTATGACTATTTCAAACAAATGATAGGTCTGCAGATTGCAATATGTAACTCACCTAATCTGTTACCTGTAAACATGACCATCAGTTTCTGTAATGACTTCCTCAGTAATTACACTGTTATTGATGACTTCTCCTGAGGACTTTGTGCTTATACTACACCTCTCCAGAATCTCTGCTTTTGCACCTTGGTTTTGGTCTGTGACAAATATGAATTACCTGAGTTATGGTTATTTGTATTTATCAGTAAGCATATTTTAAATACCAGTTATTAAATAAAAATAATTAAGCAAAAGTAGAAAACTTATTACAGTCCTAAAGGTCTTACACCTTACACTCTTATTACAGTCTTACGCTTCTCGCTTGTATGCATTTGTGCTACATTTTTGCAATAAATACAAGAGGAATTATAGATTTAATTGATCCCACTATGCATTTGGAACAGGTTTGTTGCAGAGAAGATGGGTGGCATGGTTGTAAGAGAGCAACTACATAACTTCTGCTGGGAACTTGACATGAGTGAAACAGAATTTGAACTGAAAAGCAACATTGTGCCTATTGCGAAAATCAAAAGAGGGACGTTCTATCACAGAGCCTTACTTTTCAAGGTACATTATCATTTATTTTGCAACATAACATATTATTGTTAAATGGATAATCTAAAGTATATTTGCCTAAGTATAATACATTATTTATATTAATGAAAAATCTTTTGTATACAGTTTCATAATTTTTCAACAGCAAAGTTGATTTCCCAGTGAATGAAAGCCAGCATCGCTTCTTTCTGTAAACATTCTTGTTGTCATTAAATTGTCTTAAGTGATATCAGCAGAATACTTGATAAATGGCAAAAAGCCAAAGAATTTGATTTGGAGTCAAAACATTTCACATTTTTGTAAACTGTAAAATATTGAATTATGCAGCTTCCTTCTTTTTCCATGCTGCAAATGCAGACTTGTTGAGACAATTTTTATTTGGTATCTATCCAGTATTCCAGGATAGTATATAACAGCTTCTATGGTCTAGTTTCTTAGAAGAAACTGTGAAGTTTTATTTCTTCTTTCTTCATATGAAGATGTATTGGTGCAGCCCGATTATCTGTCCCATCCTTTTTCCTTGGCTGGATTTTTATCTTTCTTGAATGGAAAGAAACAGAGAAACAAGGGCCTAGCACATTAAGGAGGAAGGACCTAGGAAAGAGTACACAGGAGAAAGAGTATGACCATAAATTTATGGTATCCATAGGGAGAGAAAATTTCCAACTTGTTTTATGACATTCTGAGGGTGTGAATTATGCTCCACTGTCCTAAGAAACTTTTGTAGGGAAAGGTCATCTCTCTTAAAGCCACAGCACTCTAAGCAATGGGTATCTGTCCATTTGTTGCAAGTTAAAAATCTTCCAGGATTTTATTCCGTCACAGCAGATGTGTGTTGAAAAAGCAGTTTGGTAGCTGGAAACCATTATGGAAAACATTATGGAAATTGTGATAGTGCAGTCCAGAGGAAAGGCAGGTGTTTCATCTAGCAGACACTTGCCTCACATTTCATTGCTTCCCACATTTCCAGGGCTGAAAAGCAAGGAGTGTGCTTCAGAGTGAAGCAACAGTCCTAAAGTTACACTGATAAAAATGCTACATTTTTACACTTAATATTTCATACTAGCTATATGTGTGCAGTGTGCCTATACCTCATTGCTTGAATATACTTCAAAATTTTGTTCAGAAGTAAGTCTTCCAAGTACACAAAAAACATCGCTGGGTACTGTGGGTGTTGCACTTTATTTGAGATCTGAAGGACTGGCTGATAAATGTATCACTGTTTCAAAAGAGTTAAAATGAATATTTTTCATGTTGTGCATAAGATATTCGAGAAACAACATTTAAAAGCCTACACTTTCTATGCAAAACCAACAATAAAGGTTTGAAGTTTGGAACACTTGAGAAATTTATGAAGTCTGAAAGGCTCTAGGCCTTTCAGGTGTTGGTTTTGGGTTTTAAACATCACTGGGCCTTGCTGTATATCACAGAAGCTGCATGAATGAACTTTTTCTTTCTTTTGTAGGTGATAGCAGACAGAATTGGCATTGGCTGTAGTTTAGTTCGTGGCAAGTATAACAGAGCTTGGAATGAAGTTCAATTGGTTGAACACTCTCCCAAAGGGCTTCTGCTTCCTCCTCAAGAGTATGTTGTAGATCTAATGTTTGAACCAGGCCGTTTGCTAAAACAAGGAAGTGCAAAGGCTGATCAATACAAATGTATTTAATCATCTTGATGAATTTCACCAAAATAAATATTTTAAATGTGTTTGCAGTGATGTATTTATGAAACATGAGGGGGTTCATATCCAACTATCAAAAAGAAGCGTATCTGGTATGTTGCTTTAAAGGTTTAATTAAATGTGGTTTTCATATCTAGCTTCAGTGCTTAGAAATCTTGTTAATTTTTTGGTAGTATTTTAAGACTAAATTGCAAAACTACAGATTAAAATTTGGTAATCAATAATATTTTGTGTGTGCTAAGATTACAATGCTTATTAAATAGGTTAAATACCAATACAGCATATTCTTTTTTTTTTTTTTTCTTCAAACTTATAGGAATTTCATGTCCATAAAGCAAAAAAAAGTGACATCTGATGAAATGACAAGACACCTAAAAACAGCTGGACAATTTTTGTGTGAAATAACCAAAGAACTAAGAACTAGAACTACAATAACAGTATACTTTCATCCTCTGTAGAAAAAAAATTCCATTTATATTTCTTAGAACTTGGCAGAGTTAATATTTACAGATAATAGGATACTCTGGATGAAAGTATATACTGTTTGTCCTGGTACAGGAAAGACAGATGATTGGTAAGTTAGTGCTTGTGATCTGTTTAAATTCTTTATTTTTGACTTGAAGATAAAATGGACTCCGAGAAGTCAGCAGTTTCAGACAGAGAATTTGTATTTCTTGCAGTCTTGGGTAACGTGGTGTTGCTGAAGACTGGCAGCGCGTTTAAGAGAGGTAAAACACGGGCTAGAACACTCTGGCAAACACTTCCTGGTGAAACTGTCAGGAATGTACTGGAGTATTTCAGAGAGCACCACTATCAATTGAGTTTACTGTGGAAAACTGAGAGAACGTACTGTACAGCAATTAGGCCACTGCAGGCCTAACAGAACTGAATTTCGGTAGACCAGAACACCTACAACAAGGCATTTACTTCCAGCCTACCAAAAATGTGATTAAAAAATTTGAGGTCTGTGTTCTTTTAGGTTTTTAATGTTTGTATAAGCACGGTCATTTGCCTTGATGCTTTGGTTGAGGAGGAGGTTTGTATCTGTTGTATTCATTACTGCTCACGAGCATGATCCCACCACTCCCTCTCCTTCCTCCTCTGACATGCAGCATGATTTCCTGGTAGCCCTTAGGGGAACATTTTATCGAAATTTATGTTGTAGATTTGCTTATATGGCCTCATGTTCATTTTTTTTTTTTAAACCTTATGTTCAGCAGTCCCCTAGACATCAGAATGCAGAAGAAATCTGGAAACAAAATGCAGGATGTGCAGGCAGAACTGAGAGAAAGGTGAGGATGTGTTTCTTATTGCTATGTAGCAGGTAGGAGACTGATGGAAAGTCATATGATCTCACTGATAGGTATGATTTGGTATAGAAACCCACAACTTTCAAAGTCCAGTAAATTGAAGCAAAATAAGAATTAATTTCCTGCTAGCTATCATTTTGTATAGTTTTCTTACATTGGAATTTCATTATTTTGGATTGGAACCATAATGTTAAAGTATGACTTACTGTGTTTGAGGAGGTCTTGAAAAGAAAGCAATTTCTGTTGTTTCTAAAAAAAATCAATATAAAAAAAATAGTCAAAATGCAGTTTTTCAAAATAAAAATTGGGAAATTTCTAGACATACAAGCTCACCTTACATAAAATAATTATCTAAACAAATAAAACCAAATACTATACCTTGCATTGTATAATGTGGAATTTGATGATCCAGAAATGTAGGATCCAAAAATGTTTATGTCTTTCAGTTTTGAACTTTGTACTGTCTTGAGTTCTGTCACTTCAAAATTGTAATGCACTTGGATGTCAGAATTAAGATATAGGCAGAATATAAACACTTCAATTAGAATGGTTACTTTGAAAACTGCGCTTTATTTGTCAAGTACATCAAGAAATTACACACTTTTTTATTTTATGTTAATCAGGGACCTGTAATTGTGTCCATGGCCTGGTAAAGAATCTCCCCACCCTTGATAAGAGCAGCTCAGCTCACACTCATTCCAGAACTGAATCAGAAAAACAAAATGTTTAAACATTTCTGCGGGCTCAGCTGGGTGAGTATTCCCAGGACATACCCAGCACACACCATTTGGCTTGGGCTGTGCCTGAGGGAATCGATCGCCTCCTTCATTTAAGGAGCAGATGGGGAAGAGCTCGTATTTCCTTTTACATAATAGTTCACTAGGCAGATCAGTCACACAGAAGGAGTCAGGCTTGATGCCTTCCTAAGCACGAACAAAACAGTCTGCAGCTACCTCATTGCAGGATCTGTTCTGGCCACTAAGCACTCTGCATCCTTTTTTGAAGATTTGCTGTCATGCAGAAAAGAATGCAGGATTAATAGACTACAGAAACAGAAAAGTTGAGCAGCCTCTTCAACTTAATATTTGGGACTAGCAATTAGGCTTTTCCTTTGGGAAAAAATAGTCTGGGTCTCCAGTATCCACTTCCAGAAATGTTCTTATATTTTACTGCCTAGACATGTAGAAACTGTACCCTACCTAGAACAAGATCCTCATAATTAGGTGCTCTCCTGCAAGGTGAAAAGCTGTCTTAAGCAAAGGTAATCAGAAGTAAGGTTCATTCCTCCAGAGCTGTAACCACCAGGCAGTGACACAGAAATGGGCCTCATGGCCAGCAGCTGTGCAGAATGAAAACCAAATGAGATGTGCTCTGCTTCTTGAAAGTGAGGGCATGTAAATGGTCATCAGGACAGTGATGGGGACTGAAGATCCTGATTTGAATGAAGCACTCCCAAGTCATCCTCACTGCCGTGTCTGTGCTTCTGAGAGAAGCAGGCGTGAAGACTCTTTCCTCCTGTTCATAGGAACTGCCCGGCTTGGTATTGACTGTGCAGAAATGATGAAGTTCCCTGCTCAGTTCCTGCATGGTCTCTTCCAAGGCATCTGCAATTGAAACACCACACATGCACACATTAACAAACACCGCTGCCCCCCCCCTACTCATTAAAAAGAATTTTAGTTTTGATTTGGCATTGGAAAGCACAATGCTTAATATATAGCATATCTGCATATCAAGAAATACAAATCTGGACTGTGTTAATAAAAGGTCAGGTGATTCCTACCTGTCTGATGAATGTGAGTCAGTAAAGCAGCAAACCAAACTGATGGTGGTATCAATGGGATTTCAAGTTCCAGCAGAGGTTTTGGTATGAGAGAGTCTAATGGCTGGGCAAACCTCTGCTTTTGCTTGTTCTGTATGTCTGGGACCATTGTGGCTAAGGGAGTAATTCCAGACTCTGCAGATGAGTTTTTGGCTGAGACCTGTTTCTGAGGGGTGGTTCTGGTAATCACCTCGGTGCAGAAGTGGACTCTTCTTCCCCCAGCGTGCACCGAGGCAGTACAGATTGCTGGCAGCAGCAGCTCTTCCATGTTTCTCTTCTGTTGCCCTCAATCCTGAGCAGTAGGAACACTGAGGTTAACTTACACTTGTTTGTCTTTATGCTAGCAGGGAACAACTGCAGTGTAATTTATAGATTTGGGACATTGTCAGATGGTGTCTGATTACTCACTGCTAAACTAGAGCGTTGACTTGACATCACTCCCTCAAACCTTGTCAAACCTTGCACTCCCGTGCATGTAGAAATTGAAATGAACTCTTCCTCCAGGAAATCTCTGTTGCTGATTAACTCTGGGTCATGAGAAGAATCCAGAGTTCTCAGAACAAAATACTTATTTATTTTCAGATGCAAGAGGAACTTTTGTCTGTTACTTTTCTCACTAAACTTGTCTTCAGGGAAAAACAAGTCTTTTATTAGTAAACATGGGCTTTGAATGGTGACACATTATTTCATCTACAGCTTCTTTGCATGGATCTGAACCTCTTCTACTACATGATTTATTTTTCTCTAAATCCAGCTCATTATCCACACAGAATGTCAGAATGGAAACTGCAGTGGCAGTAGATATTTCCTGGCCAGCATGTCAACTTAGTTAAGATAGAAAAATGCAATAAAGCGTTTATTATATTCATAGCCACCTTGCTGGTTTATACAAGGATCTTCCTCCCAACAACCCTTTGGCACTATCTATTTTCCTTCAGAAGACTGAAAAAAAAAAAAAAAAAAAGACAAAAAAAATCCCTATATAATTAGAATCCCAAACACATTGTAACAAAGTAGAAGAAGAAAGCATAAGAATGGACAGACAGACTCTAGCCAGGAGTCTATCCTTGAACGTAACCTATCTCCAACAATGGTCAGTATGGAGAAGGTAAAGAGTGTGGCTCAAATACATTTCTGCATTTCCAGAGTACTCTGCTAGGTTCAGCACTTCACCACTGAGGGATTTCTGTGTGTCTAGGGATTTAGTAACACATTTACACAGAGGTGAAAATACATAACACAGATACACCTCTACAACCACCCACTGGCACATCCAATACACAAACCCTCTAACTCTACAGCTGTGCCACTGTACCTCCTTTCCTCCCAGGCAGCTGTACCTCATCCCAAATAGCACAGAGGGAAAGAACTGAAGGGCTCTGCTCTAGCACTGGCTGGGGCCTTTGTAATACAACTGTGTGTATGGGACATGGGACAGTTCACCAGAACTGCTACTAGAGCAGATCTTTGCAGATAAATTAACAGCTCTTTAGGCCTCTTAATGAGCTATTTTTCTATTGTACAAACACTGTCTTTGACACTGAAAGATACCAGAAATAGTGGAATAACTTTATCTGGTCTTCCTTGTCTACTGTCACCCAGGGAGAATTTAGAATTCACATACAAGTAGAGTATGCACAGGAATGAGCGAAACACAGCGGGGGAGAGACATACACGTACATACACACATACATGTGTCTTTGACCTATAAAAATGTTATTTTCAGGACATGGAAGAAATTGGAGTATTTGAGATACAATGAGCTAGTGAAAGCTTTTCTTTCATGAAGAGTGAGCTTATTTGCATGGTAATGAACCAGCTTGTTTTTCCAGCTCATTGATGTTTCACTGATATGCTAAGACACCATTTATGGAAACCTTGTACAAAGCATAATTGAAGCAAGTTCCTACTTGAAATTGGATAGATGTTGAGGAAAATACAGCAAGATGAGAAGAACAATCATATCAGAGTAGGCAGCAGATCCTGTTACTCATGCAGCCCTTTGCCCAGGCTACACCCACCTATTCAAATGCTGTCCACAACCAGCTCCCCTCCTGCTAATCCTACCTTGCAAGTCAGCACAGCAGACCCTGTCTTCCAGCAGACCAGATGCTTGGGATTTGCAGGATGTCTTTGCTTATTCTGGAATAAGAGACAGAAAAAGCTCTTCAGCAAGAGCTGTTAGCTGTTTGCTGCTGGTTTTCACTCGTCCATGCTGCATAAAAGTAACAAAACTCTCCCTAGGCTCCACAGGAGCTAGTGTAAAATCTTTCCTTTTTGTGGTGCCAGTGTTGTGCAAGTTTGCTGTAAAATATGGTGCCAAGTTCTTGTGAAGCAGAAACTGCTCCTAAGTCACTTCATTCTTTTGTTGCAAGAAAGGTTGAGCGAACCACCCAACCAGAGACCTCAGTGCCTGCTGCTCCCACAGCTTGCAGTCTTGCTGTTCTCCATTTCATTGTTGCTTTATCTTACTGTTTCCAGGAGACATCCCTAGTGTGTCTGATACTCATCTCCTTTATTTTCTCATCTACATCCTGTTGTGGTTTAACATCAACCATCAGGCCCACCCAGCCTCTCATGCACTCCTCCTCCTGTAAGTGGAGGAGAGAATCAGAAAATTCCGTTTAATAGGTAAAACAAAAGCTGCACATGCAATCAAAGCAACACTAGGAATTCATTCACCACTTCCCATGGCCAGGCAGGTGTTCAGCCATCCCCAGGAGAGCAGGGCATGTTAACAGTGACTCGGTCAGACAAACGGAATCACAGATCACAGAACCAGCTGGGTTGGAACAGACCTGAGGTCAGAGTCCAGCCTTGGAGCAGACACCACCAAGGCAGTTGGAGCATGCTTCTAAGTACCAGCTCCAGTCTTTTGTAAACACCAACAAGGAGTGGACCTCCACCAACACCGTGAAGGACATCACTCTGAATGTCCTCCCCCTTCCTTCTTCTCCCCGCTGTTTTATATACGGAGCATGATGCGATATGCTATGGAATATGCCTCTGGTCACTTGGGGTCAGTGTCCTGGCTCTGTCGCCTCACAGGTTCTTGTGCAACCTCAGCCCACTTGCAGGTGGAGTAAGGAGCAGAAAAGGCCTCAGTGGTATGTAAGAGCTGCTCAGCAGTAACAAACACAGCCCCATGTAATCAATGTCTCCAGCACAAAACCAAAACACGGCCCTGTACCAGCGTCTGTGAAATAAATTAACTCTTATCCCATTCAAAATCAGCACACCTTTTTCTACAGATCAGCAGTTCTGCCTAGTTATGAGAAGGATTTGAACAAAAACCCCCACACCATAGCATGTTTTTAATTCCTTTTTAGTATGAGCTTCTCTGAACAAGGTGCTTTCAGTGATACAGTCTGAAAGAAGATTCCTTAAAGGCCAGGTGTTAAAAAGATATTAAAGAGTCAAAAGGCTTTTCAAAATGTCAAGTCATTAGTTTTAATTGGCATTAGGGAACATATTATGAAAGACTGGAGGTCTGCTCAGTGTCGCAAGGTATAACAGATGTTGGTAATGATACCTAATTTCCAAAATTGGAGAATTCTCTGACAAATGGGCACTCTTAAGACACAGTTTATCCGTGGTAGATCATACAGAAGAATCACATGCTGTGAGTGCCAGTTTCTTTTCATTACACTGTTTTTTCTCCAGACTTCTAATGTAAGTGGGTCTTATCTGAGATTCACCTGCTATTAATGGGAGCTGCATTACCAAAGAGAGAACTAGGTGACTAAAGACTGGCTACTAGGTATAAATATGTGCAGAAAAGTCAGGGGCTTTAAGCCCAAATATTGGGCTATTCAGGTACTAAATTTCTACAGGAACTCCCAATGACAAGAGAGTATCAGGAACTGACAGGGACTTGGACTTTGCAGCACTGGGCCAAATTTAATGTTGGGTCTAAGGAAGCTCACTGGAGTTTCCACGAGCCGAGAGCTGTGTGGCATGTGGTACAGGTCTAAAACACAGATAACGTGACATTTAAGGTGAGCTGAGGATGCAGTGTTCCATGTGCCAAGGATCACACTGATCCGGTGCTCAGGGTGCCTTCTTCAGAGCAAAACCTCTGGTCAGAAATATGGAGTTATTTACACAGGGATTAGTCTGTAGCATTTGTTACCATGGGATAGAGGAGGGATGGGAGTCACAGAATCCTAGAATGGTTTGAGTTGGGAGGGCTCCTAAAGATGATCTCATTCCAACCCCCACAGTGGGCAGGGACACCTTCCACTCAACCAAGTTGTCCCAAGCACCATCCAACCTGACCTTGAACACTTCTAGGCATGGGACATCCACAGCTTCTCAGGGGAACCTGTTCCAGTGCCTCATCCAGGGGCTGCCACTGATTCAGCGTTGTCACCACTTGCTGTGTATTTGCTGACCACAGAAATTCAGTAGCAGAGAGTAGCACAGGTTTCAGCCAGGTCCATGCTCAGTTTTGATACTGAAACACTGCTGGACGCTGGGTATGGTGGGGAGGTATCTTTGCTTGGCACTCAGAAATTAGAGCAATTCACTAATAAATGGGCTTGCAATATCTGGCCTATCAGCATTTTTTCTTGGTAGACAAATGACAGTATGCTGTAGAAACAAGATGAAACCTTGTGAAACCTAGAGCCTGCTCTGGTCCTTTCTACCCTCTTCTTACATAGCAGATATGGGCGAAAACATCTACCACAGCAGCACTGACTCAGTGCACTCTGCCTTTTAAAAAGCTCCTCACCTAAGGTTCCCACATAAGTAGGTTTTCCCCACAGATCTGGCCAGATTTTATATCACATGAAGCTGGAGAAGTTTTTGCTCAGCTCAGAGTTGCTCAGACAGGTCCTGGAAAAGAAACCCCAAATCCTGTTCCAGTGGGAGCAGGGTGTGCTGGGCCAGATTGCCACCAGGCACTTCATTTTCATCAAATGGAACACCAGCTCATGCCTTGAGAACTGAATGCTAGTTTTTCCAACAAAAATAAATCTTTGGAGGCTCACCTAAGAGAGAAGGAAAGAAGATGCATAGCTTCACTTACATTAATACCAAATTTAAAAATGCATCTAAGATGAATGAGTGGGAATAAAACTTGTTCTAGCAAGCCTCAGTAATTCCCATTTGCTGGGAAAAAGGCAAACTCTGTTATCAGGAAAGTCACTCTATGGAAGAGAGTCATTTTCCTAATCAGAGTGTGAAGCATGCCCTACTCTTAAATCATTTATATTTTACTTTTTTATGATGCAATCATGAATTAGCTTTTTCTATGTTTGTAATGAGAGAATAGAACAGATGGTCAGGGCTTAGTTCAGGGTGATAAATCCATTAGGATAACCTACAGAAAGTTGCTACTATGGCAGTTGCTGCCAAATAAGTGTTCATTCAATTTTCTGTTCAGGCTTTGGGTATTGTGTGAAGAACCATCTCAGTTATTCAGTACCTTGGGATAAAAGGGATGCACAAATTTGTATAATATATAATTAGTGTGTATATGGCTCAAGGAACTGGATGGTAATGATATGCGGGATGCATAGGATAATGCAGGGAAATAGCCTGGATCTGTTTCTTCCCAATAGCTGTCCCTGAAGATACACATACTCCATACCAGACTGCATGTCTACTTATAGCTGAACCAATGGCTCAATTGCAGAGTTGAGTTTTCTATCGAGGAGTGACTGCAAACTCCCATTTAACTTTGAATTCATGCCTTCACTTGTTATGCAAGAAATTTCTCAAAACATTTAGAATCCTAGTATAATTTATACTGGACAGGACCTATTGAGGGCATTTGGTGTAAACCAACTCAAAGCATTTGTCACAGTGGACCAAATCCATAGGTCTCTTCCAACTGGAACTATTCTATTATATTCTGTCCTGTTCAAATTCCACCCTTAGACTCCAAGAGAAGGCTCTCACTTAAGCTAGCCCACAAATATGACCTATTACTTTCCAAAAACAAAAGTTAGAATAATCAGATATCCTATAGCTTTGATTAGCAAGAAGAGATATTAAACCATGAAGCAAACAAAGTGAGAAGTTGTGTGTTCATTATTTCTGATGATGTCTTTGACCCGAGTTACATCAGGCTGCTCCATAAATGAATCAGAATCCATAGATCAGCTTCAGGGAAGTTCAGATCTGCATTCAGTCGCTGTGTGTCTCTGGAAAACAGCAGTACCCTTTTCCAAGGTACTTTGACACTTCTTCCTATAAATTTTGCCAAAATCCCTTTCCATCACTGGAATTCAGCACCAGAGCACTACCACATACCTTTAGATAGTGTTTCCATGTGGAAACAGTATCGCCATATACCAAGAGCTCCATAGTTTCATCACACCTGAGTGGCTAGAGGCTGGCTGTGTCAAGTCCATTAGAGGAGAGAGAAGACTCTGCCGAGGAAGGATATGGAGTTCCTGCAGTATCTCTTACAAAAGCATTGAGGGTTTCCGTGGAGGAAACAGCTCCCCACAGATACAACCCACCATGGAGGGGCTTATGCCAGACCCCTTCCTTCACTCCCCAGGCACCTGGGCACACACACCCCTGCATGTGACAGGTCCAGGACAAATTGTTGCATGGTGAGCTCCCACGTGTTTCAGTGGAAGCACCCCACAGGAGGGGGCATACATTAGATCTGACAAAGAGAGCAGAGGAAAACCGATTGCACACAAATGCATACAAAATAAAACCACCACAATTTCAGTGGTCTCCTCCATACGTGGTAATGTCAAGGGGCTTTATTAACAAAAGCTGTGTAAGCAGAGGTTTGAATTTGAACAGGGCTTTTTTTCACTTCTGCACTTCGTTGCTGCCTGGCTGAGTGCTCAGTATCTGCCAGTGCAGGCTTTACGTGCTGCTCTGCTTGTCCCCAGTCAGTCAAGGCAGAGCCTGAGCTGGGAAATGGCTGGAGCCCGAATAAATATTAGCAGGATAGTCTGGGCTGAGACTGCTTCCCTCTTCCCTTCTGCTCTCGCCTACACATGGGATGCTGCTGCTGCCTCGGCACAGAGCCACACTACAGGAAGAGCTGAGGAGCTTCTCCCCATCTACACGTGTCAAATGGGACATTGTGCTTTGGATGAGTGACCCTTCCTTGGATGCAGTTTGTGCACATGCTGGAGACAGGTGACATTTTTAGCAATAAATCTGCTGAATTACAACTCAGGGAGAATTTACTTGAAAATTTACATAATGTAGCTAGGGGAGATTTTTAAATGCTTCCCCTTGTGCATAAGGGATAAAAAAAAAAATAGGAGGAAAATTAAGTAACAGTTTAATTGGCTTCCAGAACAGTCTATAGGGAGAAAGGCAGGCCGGATGTCTGCCTAGCTACACGGCTTGGTGTGTGCTGTAACCATGGGAGGCAACATTACAGGCATGACAGGACAATGATTTGGTTTTTCAGCACTGAAGATCTGAAAAATGAATTACCTCCAGCTGGGGGGTTGTTTTCCACTCGAGGAAGACCTGTCATGCTGGTTTGGATGACTGCAGGTCAGGCTTCTGTTTCAGGGGAAAATGGAGGATTTTCTCCTGCTCTGCCATGCACCACCTTAAATGTGGATCACAGCTGTTGGGAGGAATGGGATCTGCCTCTTCCACCACCCCCCTCATTTTAATCAAGGAGTGGCTTGTAGTGAACTGGGTAACTGAGAGGATGATGAGGCTTGGGCTGATGAGCCTGATGCCTCGTGCTCCCTCTGCTCCACTGCCCCCCAGACCCCTATCTCCCTCCTCCAGAATCTGAGGAAAATGGTGCAGCATCAGACCTGTGTTGGTTCAGTTCTCACTGCCTCAAAACTGCTGCATTTTGGGATGGTACCTGTAACAGAGACCTGCAAAAAATATACTGACAGTTCATTTTTTAATTTAATTTTGTCTTTTAAAAAAGCACCAGTTAAATCGATGCCAATTACATGAAAACATGCAAGTTTCAGGACTAACCACTTTCTCTCACCCTCCATTTCTCAGATAATTCAGGGAGAACTCTATTGATTACCTGTCCTCCTCAGGAGCAAACACCATCTGAGTGAGATTAAGACCAGGAATGTGAGGGAAATGCCTCTTTTCTACAGCTGAACTGGAGACAGAAGCCAGTAGTGACATCATCACCTGCTACCACTTTCTAGCCCTAAGTCACTTGCCAGAACTGGGGAAGTGTCAGATTGGGTCTCTTCTCACCAAAGGCTCCCTAACCTGTTCCAACTCCCTCCTAAACCATGGCTAAATGACTGATATAAGATGCCATAGGGATAAGCTAGAAAATGTTTGGAAAGATCACAGGATCATCAGTTGCCAAAAGGGCTGAACATGGAAAAATATTATCCGTCTGCCTATAGCATGGATGCTGCCTTCTGCCAGCACCAAAGTGGCTGGCAAAGCCCTCTCCTCCCTGCCAGCAGCACTACTCTCCTGAATCACAGTCCTGAGGACTCACAGGCACCACATCTCCAGGTTTTTATCCAGGTACTCTGGGTTCATTCCACCGTATCTTATTACACAGGAGAAAGCCATAAATCAGCCGTGTGCCCCACTCCCCCCTGCCACTGCAGGCAGTGAATGCACCACGGAGGAGCCTTGCTGATATCCATCCTTTGGTGCAGTACTCTGTGCATCCAAGCAGAGGCAGTGATTACAGCCGTGGTACTGATCAGATGCTGTATGGGATGTCCTCAGCTGCCATGGAATTCACTGTCTTAGGCATAAGGATGGTTCAATACAAATGTGTATATACAGGACTGATCACACAAGATTATTTTTTAGCTTTTTGAATTAGGCTAGAAGAATTAGGCTAAAAGAAAGTAAATTTGTATTAAACATCATTATTAGCTGTGTTATCCAATGCAATCAAAACACTCCCTTCCAAACAAAATTATGAACTAGTTACAAATCAGAAATGTAACTATTGGAAGAAAAGCAGACAGTAACATTAAGGCTTAACGTAGAAAATTAACTTGTGGTTAGGTCTACCTTTTAAGGACAGGCTGCCAAACTAACACACGTGTCCTATTACAGGTATATTTTTAGGCCAAGCCAATGCAGCTGTGACTGCACATCACCCCAGGAAAGCAGGAATCCCTCTGATGGCACAGCGCTTTCACCATTCCTCGATCCAGGACATGCATCCAGGACAGCAAGAGTGCTTTTGCATGCAAGTAGCAGGCCCGTTCTCCTTATAAACAACCTAGCATGTCTCAACAGGATTTTCTTATGTTTATGGCTGCAGCGAGTATTCATTTTTAAGCCAGTCTCGGTAAGAAGTGGTTGAAATATTTACGTGCAAATGCTGCATCGGCGTTTAAGCTTTACTCATCGCTATTATGAGGTCTGATTCTTTATGTGGAATGCAGGGATTACACCGGCGCCTTCCCCGGTTCCGCCCCGCCGCGATGGCGGCTGGCCCGCTCGGGAGGATGCTCGGGAGGATGCTCGGGAGGATGCCCGGGAGGATGCTCGGGAGGATGCTCGGGAGCCGCCGCCCGCTGCTCCTGCTCCGCTGGCGGCCGCCGAGCGCCGGTGGCGCCCGCGCTGCGCACCGCGGTACAGGTACCGCCCGGGGAGGGGGACAGGATCCCCCGCTCGCCGTCCTCTTGACACTTGGGAAGGGCTGCGTTAGCGTGCTGTGGGTTTTTGTCTTGAATTGGCAGGCTAAGCTCTAGGTTTTTTGGTTAAACTATCATTTTCAAATTAATTTTCCCCTGCCCACCCCCCCTCCCCCCCCACCAGTCTCACCTCTACCTTGCAAGAGATTAATTCAGACAAGCGTTCATTCCTCAAGAGCTGATTGTTTTTAAAGGATTCTGTGCTGATGGGAGATAGGCTGGGAGGTAGTTCCCCACCTCAGACTTACTGATTAGGAAGGTATTAAACTATTTTACTCGCTGTTTTTCAGCCAGTCCATGAATTCTTTGCCAATGCCATACCACCCTAAGTGTCCTTGTTGTGTAGAGACTCACAGGATATGTTGCTGGAAGTTTGCACCATGATGGGCAACTTCTGCTGTGCTGTTGTGTGTCCCTCATTTAACTGTGGCCCTATTTCTCTTGGGCTGTAGGTGTTGCTTTCTTCCAGTCTTCCTTCTTAGCACCACTTTTCACTGGGGCC